TTTCAACTTTTATTGATATTGATAAAAAAATGATTTTTTTTGAAAAAAAGACTTTCTTCTTCAAAACAAATGAACGAGGGTTTATACTCATACTTTTTAAGTTCTCTTCTCGAAGAAGTCAGAACATTTTTTTCTTTTTCTTAATTTTCTATAAACTATATTATTATAATTAAATATTAAAATATTTTTTAAAAAATATTTGGTTATTACTGATTTGAAATGTTAGGAAAAATACATATATTTATACTTAATAATAATATGATTTTATAGTTTTTTCAATCAATATATTTTACTATTGTTTATGTAGAACATTTTTTGTTATTTATATGTTTTTTATTTGTTTATTTTAAATAAACAAAAAAATATCTATTTTTGAAAAATAGAATAGCTTCTAGAAAAAATATATGATTTTATTTCTATTAAATTTAAATTATAATAATATTCATTTTTGGTATTAATTATAAATATTTGTCCATAAACAATATTATTTTTTTACATTTTTTAAATGTTATTTATTAAATATGATATTTTTAGAATATTTTTGTTATGGCATGAAAATAAATACTTTTGTTTTTAAAAAATTGAAAATAAAATAATTATTAAAAAGGGTTTTTTACACAATAATGGTACTTTTACACCCCAATGAAAAACAGGGTCGCAATTTTGGGACAATAAAATATTTGCAGAACCATGTAATATAACATAGTTTTTTATTTATTTTGTCTTTCGGAAAGTGAAAAACTAAAAACCAAATCAATTAAAAATTAAATGGTTTCACTTTAATTAAAAAGGAAACAATAATTACTTTCAGTTGAATAGTTTATTTCTTCAACTCTATTCAAAATTTGGAAACATTTTTTTGCTGTTTTCGGCATTTTTGTTTCATCACTACAGTATGGACACTCTGCCTTATGCAAAACTTTACCTAATGCAAGGCTTTTATTATTCAATTTTAATATAACAAAACAATTTTAATTGTTAAAAAATATAATTCTAAAAATACCAGACACTCTGTCTTATGCAGAAAATCTATTTTGAGGTTGTTTTTGAACAATTTTGAACAAGAAAACCAG